ACATATCAAGGTTGTCAGGTGGTATTGAGGACATCAGAGACAACGAATTTGTATTACTGTATTTCCTTTCATGGAATGAAAAATAACTCACAGCACAATTGGCTACATACAGCCTTCTCAGTAATCGTACTAGCCTAAATTTACACGTTACTCATTAACATAAAATGGTTTAGTTATAACGACAAAATTTCATATTACTCAATCTGTAAATTCAGAATTCGTAAGTACAATAAAATAGATTTGGAAAAAACTAGTAGATAGAGAGAAAGAACGCACGCAAAATAATGTTTCGGACAAATTTATGATACAGATATATGTTTTTACTAAAAAAAATACCTACATTATTTCAATTTGCGAAATATATAAATCTTGTCGATTGAGTCAAATATATGCTAAAATAATTTGCATTTGTTAAATTAATTAAATGTTTCATTTAAGACTTACATAGGTCGACGCCCAATGAATTTTAAAATGAGATCTATAAACATAGCTGGCAGAATTTGCAATAATATTGTTAACATATAGAACAGAGTATAACTATCGGTCAATATTGTATGGAGAGTCCAGACAATTCCTTCAAAAGGCACCTCTTTTGCAATTTGAATTAAAGTCTTTACATCATCTTCATATGTCAGATATTTCTGGCTTGTACAGTTTAAAACAAATGTAGAATTTGCTGCAAATCTACATAATAAACAAAACTATACATTAATTAATAAGTTAAAAATAAAAAAAATATGTATATATGTATAATAGATTAGAGCAATTTACATAAAATTTTGTATAATCTGCATTAAGTTACAGAAATAATTCAAATATTTATAAAATTGTAAATTATTATATGTAATGCACAAAGTATTATTAAAAAGTACTAATCATTTACAGTCGTTTTGTCTTCGGATAAATTATTTATTTAATAGATAAGTGTCTGATCAGTCAATATAGCGTTATATGTTTTAATAAATGAAGTACTTATATTAAAAATATTAAATAAAGATTATATCTTTAAACAATTACGTATACAACGGAGTGCTCAAAATTTTCCACCTTTTTCCATATAATTGGAACAAAATCAAAATTTTATCATTTTAAGTATACCGAATTTACAGTTGAGACAATTAGTCGTATATAGAATTCTATTGATTGTGAGAATATCGTATCATTGTTCAGGAGCTTTTTTGTAATGCCTATACTTAATTTGTGTTTAATAATTTCTTTCTGACAAGAGGAGGACACGACGTTGTACCAATCGATTCCTATGAAACCCATAGTATCGATAGGTATCACTGTTAAGTATCTTTAGCTAAACAGGTAAGATGCGCTTCTCAAGCGTTTGCAAAAAAAACAAAATTGAAACTATTTAATATTTAATATTTTAATACTTTAATTTAATTTAAATTTTAATATTTAATAATTATGATACAAATGTACATCATATAAATTTAAATATTTTATTTATTTTTGTATATTACAAAGATGTTTGCGCCTTTCTTTGCCCAGAAAATCTATTTAATAGGTGATTGCTATATAATTGCTATATTGCTATATTTTGTTCTATTTAATAGAACAAAACAGCGAAATAACATCTCGCGAAGATTGCGTTAAAATTCATTCAATCGTACATCACTAATTGTCCTCTCCGATTTTTAAAAATGTGTTACCCTATGCATGGTTTTCGTCAAAAATATCAGATGAAAGGGAAGTATTTATGAATGTAAATGAAGTATGTTTTCCGATTGACGTTTTAAAACAGTCATGCAATTGTAAAAACGCAGCTTTTATACGGTGTGCAAGATGTCGTGTGAATTATTGCTTTGTTTGTTTTTACGACAAATATCATCCTGAAATATGTACTATTCCATCTACTTCTAATGAATAAAATATGTTTAACATTTATTCGTATTATATATAGCAATCACCTATTAAATAGATTTTCTGAGCAAAGAAAGGTGCAAACATCTTTGTAATATACCAAAATAAATAAGATATATAAATTTATGTGATGTACATTTGTATCATAATTATTAAATATTAAAATTTAAATTAAATTAAAATATTAAAATATTAAATATTAAATATTTTCAATTTCGTTTTTTTCGCGAACGCTTGAGAAGCGCTTACCCGTTTAGTTAAAGATACTTGACAATGATATCTATCAATACTATGAGTTTTATAGAAATCGATTGGTACAACGTCGTGCCCTCCTCTTGTAAGATGAAAATAATTAATATCAAAAATCAGTAAACTGTGCGAAATTTTATTTTTTCTTGAATAAACCTGTTAAAATTTGTTCATTTGAGACGTCATTTTTTTTGTCAAAAATGCTTAAGAAAGTTTTTAAGTAATATCATAAATAATATCATAATAAAATAATATCAGATCGGAAGAGCACA